AATTCTTCTAATCCATGAGCATGGGAGGTCCTTCTGTCTTCTGATGTCTTCCTCAATCTCTTTCTTTGAAGATTTAAAGTTTTCATTGTAGAGCTCTTTAATGTCTTTGGTCAGGTTACTCCGAGATATTTTTTTTACAGCTATTGTGAATGGGAGTGTTTCCATGTGTTCTTTCTATAATTGCTTGTTAGTGGTATATAGAAAGGCTATAGACTTCTGTAGGTTAATTTTGTAGCCTGCCACTTTACTGAATGTGTTAATAATTTCTAGGAGTTTGCGCGTGGAATTTTTGGCGTCCCTTAGATATATTATCATATCATCTGCAAAAAGGGATAATTTGAGCTCTTCTTTTCCAATTATTACTCTATGGTGTGTAACTTAGAGCCAGTTAAGTGCAGGGTTTTTTACCTGGAACTGGAGCAAGTGCGCCCATGGCAGCTTCAAGTGTGAGTGACGCTTACCCTGACTGTATTTGTTCACTGTTGTCTTTTTACATTTTTTTTTTTTTTTTTTTAACAAGGTGATTTAGTTCACAACACACTAGACCATATGATATGCCAGGCTGACCTGTGCAGTAAACTCTGATGCATGTACATAGCTGAAGGACAGTGACCAAACACACATATCACATTACCTCATAGGCTTCTGCCAGCTGGGAGAACTTCTCCTTGGCTTTGGGATCATCCTTATTTGTGTCAGGGTGATACTTCTTGGCAAGCTAAAGAAACAAAAATGGTTAATTACTATAGACAGTTACTAAAATAGAATCCAAATACTTGTTACAATTGTACATTCTTTATAACAATTTCTCTTTTTTAATATTTATTTTTATTTATTTATGTGTATGTGAGTTAGCCTGTGTGAGTACATGTACCACATGGATGCAGAAGTCCAAGGAGGTCAGAAAAAGAGCACTGAACTTGAGTTATGAGCCACCAGGTGGGTGCCGAGAACCAAACTCAGGTTTTCTGCAAGAACAGTAAGTACTCTTACTTGCTGAGCTGTCTCTCCAGCTCCATGTTTGTCTAAGACATAGTAATAAACTGCAATTTTTTAAAAGATTTTCTTTTTAAGTCATGTGTATGTTTCCCTATGAGTATATGCCACCAGCATGTGGGTACCTGTGGAGGCCAGAAGAGGGTGTCACTGTGGCTGGAGTTACAGGCTGTTGTGTGCTGCCTACTCTGATTACTGGGGAACTAAACTCAAGTCTGAAAGAGCAGTATGCCATTTTAACCACTGAGCCATCTCTCAATCCTGAATAGAAATTCTTTTTTTTTTTTGTCCTTTTTGAGACAGGGTCTCCCTGTAGCCCCAGTTGGTCTGAAACTCACTATGTAGACCTGGGTGACCTTGAGCACACAGAGATCTGCCTGCCTCTACCTCCTAAGTGCTGGGATTAAGAGCATGACCTCCACGCCCTTATTATTATTAAGTGTCTTACTTGTATGTATATAAGCATGCCATGTGTGTTCAATGCCCACAAAGGCCAAATAGGGTGTTGGATCCCTGGAGCTGGAGTTGTGGATGGTTGCTAACTGCCAAGTGGGTGCTAGAATCCAGATCCCCTGCAAGAGCAGCCAATACTCTTAACCACTGAGCCATCTCTCACCTTCCCAAATGCAATTCTAAAAATAAAATTTAAAACTTTAAAACAGGGGCTTAGGGGCTGGAGAGATAGCTCAGCGGTTAAGAACACTGTTTGTTCTTGCAGAAGATCCGGGTTCAAATCCCAGCAACCACATGGCAGCTAATGGCTGTCAGTAACTCCAGTTCCAGGGGATCCAACAGCCTCTTCTGTCTTCCGCAGGCATTGCATGACACAAATGCACTTACCTACATGCAGGAAATACATGAATACACATAAAATAATAAAATAGGGACTGGAGAGATGGTCAGCAGTTAAGAGCACTAGCTGCTCTTGCAAAGGACCCAGGTTCTGTTCCCAGCACCTACATGATAGCTATCAATTGCAACTCTTGTTCCTGGGGATCTGACCCTCTCCTCTGCCCTCCATGGGTACTACATGAATGTGGTGCAGATACAAAGATGTAGGCAAGACACTCATACACATAAAAATAAATGAATCAAAAAAATTTAAACTTAAAAATAAATCATTTCTTCACATATGCACACATTTCTCACCTACAACAAATCTCTAATAAAAATAACTAGTTCTTTAGAATGTGAGCACCTTGAGGGTGAAAGCAAAGTGTAAGAATAGCATGTCTGGTACATTAAATTTATGCAAAAGGGGAAGAAAATGACCTAATTTATCTGTTGCAAATTCTTTAGAAGAATATGTAATCAACTGGTAACAGTAATTACAAGACATGATGAATAAGAAAGAATGCTATTTACTTTTAAATATTTATCTATTTACTTATTTATTTATATATTTAGAGGGTAAGTGTATGGACTTGTGACACAGGGTACATGTGGAGGTAAGACGGCAACTTGCAGAGCTGGTTCCTCCTTCCACCATATGGGTTCTTCTGGGGATCAAACTCAGGTCACCAGGCTCATGTGGCACATCCTTTTAGTGACTCTACTAAGCCATCTCATTTTTTTGTTTGTTTTTTTAAAGGCAGGGTCTCCCTGTATCCCCAGCTAAACTGGAATTTACTATGTAGACTAGGCTGGCCTCACTCCAACTCAGATCCTCCTGTCCCTATCTCCCAAGTCCTAGGATTAAAGGCATGCACAACCAAGCCTGGCTTCTTCCCCATTTTTTTTTTTTTTTTTTTTTTTTGGTCTTTTTGAGACAGGGTCTCCCAGCCTGCCTCTGCCTCTGCCTCTCAGAGTGCTGGGATCAAAGGTGTGCGCAACCACGCCTGGCCTTTCCCTCTATCTGCTACTACATTTATTCCGTAAAGAATGCACCCAACAAAGTCCATCTCTTTCAGATCACTCCACAGGATCAGCTACATATGACCCAGGTGAATGGGCTATACATTGAATCAATAAGGACCAGACAAGATCAACAGCATTCTTTCTACAGTCTTGTCACTAAATCTGAGACCAATACAGACCTGGTAATAGGCTTTCTTGATGTCTTTCTGACTGGCATTTCGGGACACTCCTAATATCTGGTAATAATCATCTTTAGAAAAAGAAGTGCTTGTGTGGAAGGAGGCAGTACAAACAAAAGAGTAACTTTTTGTTCCTGGAAGTGAAACAAGAAAGACAATTAGTCTGGGAATTTGTCCAACAAAAAGAAACTATAAATGACTATCTAGAAAATACCTGTAAAAGAACAAACAACCTATGGCTGTGGGGTCTTTCCCTTCTAAGCATTCTAGAGACCAAACTCAATGTATTTCAGATATGGGCAAAGTCATGGCTGGACAGACAACTCAATGATTAACTGCACCTGCAGCTCTTGCAGAGGGCTTGAGTTCGTTTCCCAGCATCCATATGGAAGCTCACAACCATCAGTTCCAGGAGAGCCAATGCCCTCTTCTGGTCACTGTGGGCACTAGGCATGCATACAGGTAGGCTAGCACTCGTCATACACATAAAATAAAAATAGATAAATTTTTAAAATTTTAAAAATATTTTTGAGACAGGGTCTCCCGAAAGTCACAGCTGGCTTGGAACTCACTATGTAGGCTAGGCTGGCCTCAATCTCGCAGAGATCCGCCCATTTTTGCCTTCTGAGTGCTGGGATTAAATGTATACACCACCATGCCTGGCTAAAATAAAAAACTTTTTTGGTCTTTTTAAGACAAGTTCTCCCTGTATGTAGTAGCCCTGGCTGGTCTGGAACTCACTATGTTAACCAGGCTGGCCTTGAACTCAAGAGTTATCTGCCTGCCTCTGCCTCCAGAGTGCTGGGATTAAAGGTGTGTACCACCACACCCGGTGTTAACTTTTTTTTCCAAGAGACAGAGCGAGAGAGATGGGGAATATGGAGGAAAAACTTGAGAAAAATATTTAAAAATCAATATATGCAAAATAAGCTAAGGTAAAGAAAAATAAGCTAGGGTAAAGAAAAATCAGAGGAACAGTATAAAAAATTCATAAATATCAATAGCCAGGCGTGGTGGCGCACACCTTTAATCCCAGGACTTGGGAGGCAGACGCAGGTGGGTCTTTGTGAGTTCAAGGAAGGCCAGCCCAGTCTACATAGTGAGTTCCAGGACAGCTGGGGCTACAAGGAGACTGTGTCTCAAAACAAAACAACAAAAAAAAACAAAAAAAAAAAAAAAAAAAAAAAAAACTAATGGGGAAAGCCTAGAAATTTAGTTTAGTAGGTATAGTGTTTGCTGGGCATGCACAAGGCCCTGGGATTATCTCCAGCATCAAATAAAGAGGGTATGGTGATGCACAGTGAGCACATGCAGCACAAGGGAGATCCATGTTCATGGCTACACAGAGAGTTCTAAGCCAATCTTTGATAGACTGTTTACAATTAAAAAAAAAAAAAAAACAAAAGCAGCTGGAGGAGTTGAGCATATGTAGAATGGAGATAAGGAATGAAAAAGAAAATGAGCAGGAATGATTAGAATAAGGGTACACCTTTTTTATTTTTTTGGTCTTCTGGAGACAGGGTCTCTGTGAAGCCTCAGCTGGCCTGGAACTCATTATGTAGACCAGGCTGGCCTTGAACTCAGAGAGATCTGCCTACCTCTGTCTCTGCTAGGATTAAAGGGGTGTGCCACCACGCCTGGCATAAGTCTGTACTTTGGTATGTTCAATACTTCTGAAATCAGAAAGGAAAACTATGGAAGTAGGAGTTATGAGATTATTATTGTTTCTTTATTCAGACTGGAGAAAACATTAGAACCAGTCTTAGTGATCCTGTACTCAGCCAGGTGGTATTCTGACTGGTTACTCGATTCCCACTCCTTCCAATACCAAGAGGATGAGGCCAGTAGTTGTCAAAGTTCTGTCAGCTGCAGCAGCTTCAACTTCATTATCAGAGAATTTGTTCCTGAATAAGCGGACAGTAACATGTGAAATTATGTGTGGATAAACCACATCTAACAATTACAAAATAGACGGGTTTTTTAAATATCCCAAAGCCATCAATTATCAGCAATTATTAGGAGTTCAGGTTTTTTTCCCCTTCTAAAGTATGACAAGTAAATGTCTTGCTCTTTTTTAGAACCCAGAATAGGCTTAGTCTCCAAATTATTCCAAGAATGGCCAATCCAGTATGAAGTGCTTTCTTTCTGCATGGGAGAAAGACAAAGTGGTTTTTTTGTTTTGTTTTGTTTTTTTGGTCTTTTTGAGACAAAGTTTCCCTGTAGCCCCAGCTGGCCTGGAACTCACAATGTAGACCAGGCTGGCCTTGAACTCACAGAGCTCCACCTGCCTCTGCCTCCCAAGTGCTGGGACTACAGCAGTACACCACCACACCAGCACAGACAAAGTACTTTTAGGTCATCCGATTTCATGCTATCAGATTTGAGACAAGATCACAGACTGAAAGTTGAAAGCTAAGTTAATGATTTTAGATGTAGTAACAGTACACAATGAATGATGCCATTTCTCACAAGTTTATGTCACCTGATATAAAATATGTCCACTACAGCTGATGGGCTGTCTTGGGGAAAAAGGTAGCTCATTGCAGTTCCATAGTAATATTCTCACATAGGAGTTAATATAGTGTCTGTCTAGGCCTGTGTCTCTCACACACGGAGATACACTTATAAAATATGGTCCAGGGTATTATGAAGCCCTGCACTTGACCCCCAGCACCACGAACAATAAAAAAATAAGGTTTTAAGCCAGGTGTGGTGGTGCACGCCTGTAGTCCCAGCACTTGGGAGGCAGAGGCAGGTGGATCTCTGTGAGTTCAAGGCCATCCTGGTCCACACAGTGAGTTCCAGAACAGCTGAGGCTACAGGGAGACCCTGTTTCAAAAAGTAAAAACAAAAAAAAAAAAAAAAAAAAAAAAGCAAAATTAAAAATCTATTTGGCCCAACCCACATCCAATCTCTGTTCTCAGCTCTATCTCTGCCATCTAGAATGATAACTTGTAAAGATAGGCCTCAATGCCAATGAATGAATTTCTACAGTTAAGAATTGCTCAAAGGAGTGCTGGAGAGAGCTCAGCAATTAAGAGCACTGCTGTTCTTGCATAAGACATGGGTTTGAATCCCAGCACCCACATGCCAGCTAACAGCAGTCCCAGTTCCACGGGATCCAATACCCTCTTCAGTCCTCCTCAGGCACTGCACAACACGGGTACAATTACAAACATGCTGGCAGAACACTCATACACATAAAAATAAATAAATAAAGAGTTGCTCAAAGGAATTAATTATACATCCAGGTCACATACTTCCAGGAAGGCAAGTTTTTTTTTTTTTTTTTTTTTTTTTTTTTTTAACCTCTAAAGTTCCATATCCTTTTCTTTAAGGTGCTTCTTTTATTTTAAAATTTTATTTATTTTTATTTTATGTGTATGAGTGTTCTGCCTGCACATATGTAAATGCACCATGCATGTGATGCCCACAGAGGCCAGAAGAGGGCAATGGATCCCCTGGAACTGGAGTATACTGAAGGTTGTTAGCTGCCATGTAGGTACTGGGAACCAAACCCTGGTCCTCTGCAAGAACTGCCAGTGCTCTTAACCACTGAGCCATCTCTCCATCCCCTTAAGCTAAGCTGCCTTTTTAAGGTGCTTTCAAGAGTGCCTATTATGTACCCACTGCAAAGTTGAACACCTACTGGGTAGCAAAGTCTCTTGTGTTAATAAGCTAGCCAGGGCCTCCTTAATCTTCTTTATAAACTTACAGATGGCTTAAATGTCAATTGAACAAATTCTAGGGGAAGTTAAACAAATAGCACAATTAAGGAATACAATAGGTTTTTCAGTGTTTGCTTATTTCTTTCTCACTAAAACTGAAGTGAGACAATACACAGCATTAAGAAAATATCATGCAGGCTGGAGAGATGGTTCAGTGGTTAACAGTCAATACCACTCTTGCAGAGGACCAGAATTTAATTCCCAGAGCTCACATTAGGCTCACAACCACCTGTAACTCCAGCTCCACTGAGATCTGATGCCTTTGGCCTCCACAGGCACCTACCTGTATTCATGTACACATACCCACACACAGACCATATACAAACACATAATTAAAAATATAAACTTTTTTTTTTTAAATCTTTTTGAGACATGGTCTCCTTGTAGCCCCAGTTGTCCTGGAACTCACTATGTAGACCAGGCAGGCCTCGAACTCAGAAAGATCTGCCTGAGTCTGCCTCCCAAGTGCTGGGATTAAGGGCGTGCACCACCATGCCTGGCTATTTTATTATTTTTATTTTACGTGTATGACTGTGTCGCCTGCATGTATGTGAGTGCACCCATGTCATGCAAGGCCACGGAGGTCAGAAGAGGGCTTCGGATTCCCTGGGAACTGGAGTTAAGGACAGTTCATAACCGCCATGTGGGTGCTGGGAATCGAACCTGGGTCCTCTGCAAGAACAGTCAGTGCTCTCAAGTGCTGAGCCATCTCTCCAGCCCCCAAAATAAACTTTTTAAAAAAAGACAACATCATGGCCAAAGCGCTTCAAGGCTTAATGTACAATAATTTGGTAACACCTCCAGCAAGAAGGCAGATAACACCCGTCAAGACTACCACTTTTTAGGTTTGTGACTTTCTCATGTTGTTTAACATCTAAACCTCAACTTCTTCATAAAATGTAATAGTAATAGTGCCTGTCCCGTGAAAATATACGGAGGGAAACTATATCTCCTAAGTTTTAATAAATGTGAGATTGTACTATTTCACTGACAAAGATTTTCAAAAGACCGCTCTTTCCATTTACACCAGGTGGTGCTAACGTTGAGCTGTAAAGCTATAAAATGACAATTAACACTTTATGACTTGGATGAGGACGACTACTTGCATCTCTCGCCGGAACTTTGGGTACCTAGCACTCACCAAATGGCAGCTGACCCTTCCCACTATAAGTCAGACAGTGGAGCGAAGTGGAAGGAATAGGACAAGGGAGCAGCGGCCTGGGGAACTGTTGGAAAGGTGAAGAAAGTTCACGGCTTTCGGGGCTTTCACCACCCAGAGCTCCACCAAACTCTTCCCCTTCGACGGCTTCAGAGCAGACCGCCACCTTGGCCTCTCTGCCTCCTGCTTTCCTGTGTCCCCACAATTCCTCACGCGAATCGGAAGATACCTCCAGCCTGCTACCCGGGCCGCCAGAGCCGGCGAGCCGATACTCCAGCACTGCAGCCCGCCCTCACCTGTGAGGCTGACACCAGGTCTCAATGTCAGCAGCGCCCGGGGGCCGCAAGCGCCCAGGGAAAGCGCGAAGGCAGAGACACTCAGCTTACGGCCCAGGGACGCCCCCACGACGCCACCCTGAAGCGGTCGGACCCCTCTCCCCGCTGCAGCCGGCAGCCGGGGGGCCCCCAAAGCCACTAGCAACCAACGTGCGGAACACCGCGCAGCCATCTTGGCCCGGGGACACTGCGCTTGCGCCTGGCGGCTCAAGAACACCTCTCTTCCGGGGGCGTGGCCTCTGCACGCAAGCCGAGCGTGAGCACTACGCACGTGAGCACTTTCCCTGAAGCGAGTGATTCGTAGTCCACACGTGCAAGAGGTTTGCTCTGAAGATGTCAGTTAGTAGATTCACCCTGTGATGGACTTTCTGTGTTGGATGCATGAATGCTTGCCCCTTACATGTGAGGGATGTAACTCAGTGTAACAACTGTAACCTTCCTGCGAGCCATGACATAGGAGGGAATACAAATCCCAGCAGGCTACGGGGCGTCTACAGCGCAGAACCCAGCGCGCAGTGCAGGGCTGCTTTCCTTTGACCCTGAGACTTGCGTCTTATTGCATGTGTTTCATGTGATTTCCAACCCTGCAGCTGGCTGTTGTTTTTCCCTCTGATTCCCGCACCGCAGAATTTAGAGTGCTAAAACCCCTTCTAAACGTATTAGCCTTCTCCAAACGTGTAGCAAACTTGCTGGTTGAGAATGAGAACTCAAATACCAAGAAACGAATTTAATGAGTTTTGTGAGCACCTACTATGTGTCATGCACCCACTGTGTGTTGTGCATGTTCAAGAATATAATGTTAGGTGGGGCTGGAGAGATGGCTCAGCAGTTAAGAGCACTGACCTCTCTTGCAGAAGACCCGGGTTCTATTAGAGTTTCAAACAGCAGCAGCCTCCCCCCTCCTCAACAGGGCCCCATGGAATCAGGTTCAATTCCCAGCACCCACATGGCGGCTACTAACCGTCCTTAACTCCAGTTCCAGGGGAATCCGAAGCCCTCTTCTGACCTCCTGGACATGCAGGCAATACACTCATACACATAAAATAAAAAAATAAATAAAATATTTTTTTTAAAAAGAATATAATGTTAGAGTACACCCACGCTAAAGAGAAAATCTCAGGTAGGAGAGACAGGCTCCTTAGGAAGTAACTGTGTTAAATACTGCCATAGGTGTTCAATAACAAGTGTTAAAGTTCCTAGAAACAACTCCTGCACCTTGGACTGAATTTCCTGAAAGGCTGACCAACTGATTAGCACTCTAGAGATTGTGGAGAATTTGGAATGCTGCAGATCCAGATCCTATTCACAAATCATCTGGGGACATCTTTAAACCCATAAATAGCTACACTTTGCCTACCTTTGTTTCTGAATTAATATTCTTGGGACTAGTAATTATTAACTAAAATGCATTAACTTACCACCAGGTCCCACCAATCAAAAAGCTAAGACTGGGGCCAGGTGTGGTGGCGCATGCCTTTAATCCCAGCACTGAGGAGGCAGAAGCAAGCGGATCTCTGTGAGTTCAAGGCCAGCCTGGTCTACATAGTGAGTTCCAGGACAGCTGGGGCTACAGGGAAACACTGTCTCAAAAAGACCAAAAAAAAAAGCTAAGACTGTCATCCATAGCATCTGAGACCTATAGTCGAGCCCTCTTGTTTTGCCACAACCTGCTTACTGAATGTATCCAACAATGCATTTGAAAAGTGTCTTGATTTATGACTTTTCTTTATGTTACTATTAAAAATGTAATGTTACCATGCTGGAACATGGAATTTGGGGTAACCTGAATCTGTTTTCAGGGGCAATGGTCATTCATGTTTGGCTCAAGAATAAGCTATCTCTTATTCCTTTTGAGGTAAGAGTTATGTTTTTGCGTCAACACAAACACATTAGTAAGGGAGTCTGATCTGTTTCTCAAATGTGGGGATGGACTGTTGTTAAGGTTCAGATAGCCCTGCCCTCTCACAAACAGGGTCTCATGGACTTCTCAAGCTCCTGAGAAAAGGGAACTGAGCTGATAAGCACCTTGGTCTTTGAAGTCAAGATAAGCAGACTTTTCTCCACTGTTTGTCCAACACAGCAGACTTCCCCTTTGATGGCTAAAGAAAACAGGTTTTAACAGTCCCGCTCTCTCACTCCCCCCACCCCCCCAACTTTAAAAAAATTACATCTTCCCACCTTCTGCAAGAAGCAGAAGTCTCCCCCTTTAAAAGACCCTAGCTCACAACCCAGGGCAGACATTTTTTCCTGCCCAGAAGGGAATCTGTCGCATGTATTCCTTTGCTAGTAAACTCTATTCCAAGGAGTCTTATCTGTGTCCTGGTGCTTTCTCCTGATCAACTGGATTCTTCCATAGGCTACTTTTTACCTATCAACTGTGGAATGGGCATTGGAATGTTAAACCCTCTGACTGGTAATGTTCCAACTGGACTTCATTGAAAAATGCATCACATACAGGTGGGATATTCCAAGAAGCCAAGAACATCCAAAACTGCCAGATACAGTAGTGCATACCTTGTAATCCCAGCACTTGGGAGATGGAGTGAGGAGAACCAGGAGTTCAAAGTCATCCTCAGCTATATAGCAAGTTCAAGACAGCCTTCTGCATGAGACCCTGTCTCAGAAAACAAAACAAAGAAGAAAAGAACTTCAAAAGCTAACATCTGAAAGTGTATGCTTAAGCCCTAAATTTAGAGTATGTAATCGGATATGCAGCTACAAAGGTAGAACTGGCCTGGTTAGTTTCAGAGGAGTTTCAACTTTCATACTACCCCAACCCCAAGCAATAGGAAGGGAATCTGAGAGCTCATGAATGAGTTTAGGGTGATCAGTGTTCACACACACATGCACACAATGCGCTATGACCTTCTACCACCAGTATTGTACATAAAATTTGTGTGTATTTTAATCTAGGTAGATATACATAGCCTCCATCAACCAAATTCCCTGTGGGCCCTGAGACTCAAAGAAGGTTAAAAACCACCAATCAAGTGAAGAATAGTAGAATAGTTACCAAGAATAGCTACTTTGCATATTTAAAAACGCAAGGATAATTGAGAGTGTGCTCGGGAATAGAGATCAGTGACGTGAACAAAGGATGTTTTCAAGAAACAAGGAAAAGGGTGCATGGAATGAGAGGTGGGGAGTTTGTATAATACATTGAGCAAACACATTTAAATGTCTTCAGCATAGTGATAAAGAGTATGGGCCACAGAGTCAAACTGCCTGTGTCTCAGTCCCAACTGTGAGTCCTAAAGCAACTTACTTCATCTCTCCTTATACTGCCCAGGCTAGTTTCAAATTTGTGGTCTCAAGCAATCTTCCTATTCACCTTTGAAATGGCTAAGACTATAGATGCGTACCACTAAGCCCAGAAAAAATATCACTTTTATTGGAGCTAGAAAGATGGCTCAGCAGTTAAGAGTACTTGCTGTTCTTCCAGAAGGCCCACATTTGGTTCACAGCATCCACACTGGGCCGATCATTACTACTTGTAACTCCAGCTTCAGGAGATATGATGCCCTCTTCTGGCCCCACAAGGTCTCTGTAGCTCAAACTGGCATGGAACTCACTAGGTAGCCCAGGCTGGCCTCAAATTTTTGGTGATCCTCCTCCCTTAGCCCCTGAAGTGCTGCAAGCAACAGAAAACACTCCAGACTCTGGTTGGTGTGTGTGCTGCATGTACATGAAATGCACATGGGTGTGCACATGCATACATGCAGAGGCTAGAGCAGGATGTTAGGTGTCTTCCTCTGTTGCTTTCCATCTTACTGCCTTGAGATAGCATCTCTCACTGAACCAGAAGCTCACTGGTTCTACTAGAACTAGCTAGTCAAGGAGTTCTAGGGACCTACCTGCCTCTGCTCTCCAATGCTGGGGTTACAGGCACAAGCAGTCACACTGTTTTTTCATGTGGGTGCTGAGGATTCAAACTCAGGTTCTCATGTTTTCAGAGCTGTCCTACGACTCACTGTGTAGCCCAAGCTAGCCTCAAACTTGCTATGTAACAGAGACTGACCTTCAATTCCTGATCCCCTCTGACTCCACCTCCTTACAGTTTGGAGTCTGACAAGAATCCCTTTTGGGGCTTTTTTTTTTTTTTTTTTGTCATTTTGAAGCAGAGTCTCCCTGTAGTCCCAGCTGTCCTGGAACTCACTATGTAGACCAGGCTGGCCTTGAACTCACAGAGATCTGCCTGCCTCTGCCTCCCAAGTGCTGTGACTACAGGCGTGCACCACCACGCCCAGCTCCTTTTGGGGCTTTTGCTTGTTTGTTTGAGATAGGGTCTCAAGTAACCCAGGTTGGCTTTGAGCTCTGTATTTAACCTAGGATGATCCTGAACATCTAATTTTCCTGCCTTCACCTCCTAAGTACCAGGATTAAAGTTGTAATCACTCACCTGGGTTTAGAATGATTTTTTTTTTTTTTGTCTTTTTGAGTCAGGGTCTCCCTGTAGCCCCAGCTGTCCTGGAACTCACTATGTAGACCAGGCTGGCCTTGAATTTACAGAGATCCCGCCTGCCTCTGCCTCCCAAGTGCTGGGATTAAAGGCATGAGCTACCATGCCCAGCTAGAATGATTTTTATTTGTTTTGAAACAAGGTTTCACACAGTCCAGGCTGGCCTTGACAAAGTCACTATGTTGAAAGGATGACCTTGAACTTCTGATCATCTTCTTCTCCTTCTGACTCCTGAGTACTGGAACTACAGGTGAATGCTACCATGCATGGTTTATGTGGTTCTGGGGATTGAACCCAGGACTTCATGCGTGCTAGGCAAGCACTCTACCAACTAAGCTACATTCCCTGCCAGAATCACTTATAAAGGAAAACATGATCACAGATGCTGAGAATAAAGCTAAGTATCTCTTGGCCATCATAGACTACAGTGTGAAAAACATGCCCTTAGAGAATGGGCTTTTAGCCCCAGCTGACCTGTAACTTGCTATGTAGACCAGGTTGGCCTTGAACTCACAGAGACCAGCCTACCTCTGCCTCTTGTATGTTGGGATTAAAGGTGTGAACCCCCATGCTCTGCTTCTGTATTTATTATTTTTATTTTATGTATATGAGCTTATTGACTGCTTGCATATAAGTGCACCGACATCCTGCAATGCCTGCAGAGGTTAGAAGAGGGTGTCAGAGTCCCTGGAACTGGAGTTATAGACAGTTGTTAGCCTCCTTGTGGGTGCTAGGAACCAAACCTGGGTCCTCTGCAACGACAGTCAGTGCTCTTAACCACTAACCATCTCTCCAGCCCCTGTGTGTTTTAAGGCTGGGTCTCACTATGTATCTCTGACTGACCTGGAGCTTGCTATGTAGACCACACCAGCTTTGAAATCACAGAGACCCATTTTCCCCTGCCTCACACCCTGGGCTTGCCCAATTTTTTTTTAACCTTAAAAAAAATTATTGGGCCTGGCGTGATGGCGCATGCCTTTAATCCCAGCACTTGGGAGGCAGAGGCAGGCGGATCTCTGTGAGTTCAAGGCCGGCCTGGTCTACATAGTGAGTTCCAGGACAGCTGGGGCTACAGGGAGACCCTGTCTCAAAAAGACCAAAAAAATTATTCAGCATTTCATACATACGTATAAGGTGCTTTAATCAAATCCACACCTACTCCTTCCCTGACAACTCCCGTATCTTCCCATCACTTTTTCCTGAACAACTTCAAGTACTCTTTTTTTTTAAATTTTTTTTTTGCTACTCTAACATTCCCTCTTCTGAAGAGGTAACCCTAAAATCTTTTAGGGATTAAATAAGAGCTCCCAAATACTTTTGACATTCTTTTGGCCTTTGGAACAAAGTATGTTGTTAAGAGGTCCAAGGACATTTTGACTTTTGGCTAAGAAACTGGCTACTTTTCTTTGGGGTCTTTTTTACCATAACTGCCCAGCCAATTCCTACCTCCTATTCCTATCACACCATCCCCTGAAGAGGTTACCCAAATTGCTGATAGGGAATTGGGACACAGACTGCTCTGGCTTCTTCCATGCTGAACAGGGAAGCAGGGTGTGGCAACTGGGATGCCTCTTCAGTAGGTCTATCTAAAAGTCTCCCAAATTGCATAACTCTTAACTTAGGGAGAAAAGAATGTCCTTGACTGGTGCCTAGAAGATATGAAGAAGTAAAGGAAAGTGTAGTTAGCATTACAAGTTCCAGACAGGGAACTAGAAAAAAAGTCAAAACAGCAAATTTCAAATGTTCTTATCACAGTCCATTGGAATTTCTTGACAAGAACTTCCAAAAGCATCCCTCCATTGGGTTCCTCCTCATTTTTTTTTGTCTGCCTAGGCTGGACTTGAGAATGATGGACTCAGGATTTGTTTTCAGGAACTTTGATAGCTGTTGGAGTGGCTATAATCAGTGTCTGTTCTCTCTCAAAGGCTTCTAGATAGACCCACTGAAGGGGTACCCCTATTGCCTCACCCTGTGTCCCTGTTCAGCACAGATGAAGCCAGAGGTCTCTGCATCCAATTCCCTATTGGCAATTTGAGTAACCTCTTCAGAAGATGGTGTGATAAGAATAAGAGACAGGAATTGGCTAGAAAGAAATATACTGATCACTTTAATCTTTGGTTATACTTTCCTTTTGGGTGATTAAGACCTTACAGTTGTCCCAAATAAACCAGTTTACTTTTATTCTTATGGTTGTTTGACAATCTGTTCCTCAGGGGTCAGAGCTTGGGAGGCGCCCCTGGCTCCTTTCTTTTACCAGTTCCATCTATGTGAAGATCGGTCAAAGTCCTGCTCAACTGTGGCTGGCTTCACTTGGAAGCCTGGAGGAACTGTTTCCTCTGTGTTGACCCTCCTCTTTGTAGACTGGACACTGGTTCAAGTCCATCTGGTGGGGTCTCCATGGCCTCCCTGAACAAAAGGACAGGTGACTCAACACAGTTACAGGACATTTTGAGAGATGCTCCATAGTCCCCTGGAATTTAGTCAACCTTGGAAGGCAAGGAGCAAAAACTGTCCTTTAAGTCCCTCTGACCAGATTAGAATAGGCCTCAAAGTATGGCTGTTAAACATCCAAGTTAGTTCCACCAGTCTGGTACTTTTAACTACCATGGGGTA